CGCACCTGTCGTGAAGCCGAATGGGAAGGGACCTGGGTCCCTCCCGGTGTCACGCTGGACCTCCTGGGCGCCCTCGCTCCCTTCTGCACTGGGGTGATGAGGACCGAGAAGATGCTGAAGGCATCTTCCTACGCCTTGGGTTCCCTAAGCAAAAGGCCTTTACCCATTGCCCGAGAATCCCTGGCCAGCTGTTTCTCGTAATCCGGTAACACTGCTAGCGGCTGGAAAGAGGGAACGGTGGAAGGTAAGGGGAAGGAACTTATGGGAAAACGAACGTGGGTCCAGGAGCGTGGGGAGAGAGAAGGAAAAGGGTAAAGAGACGCGGAGAGGAAGGGTTAGCAGGTCCGAGGAAGCCTGGTTGCCAGATGTTGCCAGAGACGCTGTTAGTGTTTTCTCTTCCGTGAGTGGTCAGGTTGAGCTGCTGAAAGAGTGGATATCGCTAAGGCGCATAAGCCAGGTTTGGTGGCTCTGGTTTGTAATGCTAGCAAGCACTGAGGCAGTGGGGTTGCTATGAGGTTGAGGTCAACTTAGGCTCTGTCAGAGTGAGAGGGTTTCAAAAAAGAAAGAGAGCCAAAGAAACTTCGAGAGCCTTAGAAAAGGTGGGAGAAAGAATTCTAAAGAAAGATTTTTTTTCTTTATTTGTTCCGGCTTCTTTTCTTTCTCACTATGTAGTCTCAGCTGGCATGGAACCCCCTGTGTAGACCAAGTTACCCTTAAACTCACAGCCGCCTGCTGGAATTAAAGGTGTGCGCTTCTGCCCACCGCAGGAAGTGTTTTCATTTCACACTGCCCTGAAGATTATTGATCAAGACTTAATCAGCAAGCCCTGTTTATCTTTCCTGTCTTCAGAGCTTCGGCAAATTGAGTTTTGCTGTGTTCACAGAGTTGGGTACACCTTTCTGCCTAGATTTTTGTTTGTTTGTTTTTGGGGTCAGGGTCGGGGGGTGAGGCAGGGTTTCTCTGTGGCTTTGGAGGCTGTCCTGGCCCTAGCTCTTGTAGACCAGGCTGGTCTCAAACTCACAGAGATCCCCCTGCCTCTGCCTCCGGAGTGCTGGGATTAAAGGCGTGCGCCACCAACGCCTGGCCCTGCCTAGTAGGTGTTTTTGCTTAAGTTGCATTTAGATCTTAATTACATTCAGCCACCACATAGAAGGCATTCAGAACATTTCCTCCTGCTCGAGACAGGGTTTCTCTGTGTAACCCTGGCTGTCCTGGCACTTGCTCTGTAGACCAGGCTGTCCTTGAACTCACAGAGAACCACTTGCCCCCGCCTCCCCAGTGCTGGGATTAAAAGTGTGTGCCACCACCTCTGGCTTATTTTTTTCTTTTTTCCTGAATGAAGAGATAAAAAGTATCCAGGGAGGCCACCTACCTAGCTCTAGCAGAAGCAGAGACACTGCTGTAGACATCAAGGCATCAATTTGAAGCCTGGGGTGGCGCATGCCTTTAATCCCACCTCTGGGGAGGCAGAGGCAGACAGATCTTTACTGAATTGGAAGCCAGCCTACTCTGCAAATCGAGCTGGGGTTGTTACACAGTGAAACTCTGTCTTGAAAACCAAACCAAACCAAACCAAACCAAACGAAAAGCATTAGTTGAATGCAGTGGACCCAGGTGGGGCTGTCCTGCAAATGGTTGGATTGTGTCTGTCAGGCAGCATGGTTTCTCTATGTCAATAGGCTGGGGGCGGGTAGTGGAGGAGGGGAAGTAGATACTTCACAGTTGCTCATGAACCGCAATCCAGAGTCCAGAGTGAGAGTCCTGAGGACTTGCTCTGTAGACCAGGCTGGCCTCGAACTCACAGAGATCTGCCTGCTTCTGCCTCCTGAGTGGTGGGATTAAAGGCGTGCGCCACCATGCCCAGGGAGTTGGTAGCCTCTTGGAAACTACTGTATTCTTATGAGACAATGAGAATGAAGAAGATGAAGGTCTTTGTTTTGAATGTATGGACACCATGAAAGAAAGGGTCTCAAGAATTTAATTTACTTGGGGAACAGTTGCTGTGGGGGAAAGCAGTTTGATGAACATTAGTAACTGATCATAGTGGTGTTGCTGAGAAGGAAGTGGCTAAAAATGCCTTGAAATGTCTAGGAAGACCCTTTCTGATTCCGACAGCAAATAGTCAGTGACTTACTTCCATGTGCAAGATGCCTCTCAGAAGAAGCCATGCTTGAGCCATTCAAGAAGGAGCAATAGGGTTTGCCAAGAGAACAGTCCCCGAAGAGTGCCAGTTGGAAGGCCTGGAACGCCCATATCTGATAGTTCCACCAGTTTTGGGGTGGAATGGGAGCGCAGTTTACTAGGAGTAGTAGTGTTGGGAGGTGAGGGGCAGAGGCTAGCTTACTTCCCAGTGTGTTCTTTGGCAGTGTTAGGTAGTTCTTGAAACTAACCTGCTGTATACTGACTGGTCTTTGCTTGGGTGGCATTTGAGGACTGGCTGGCTCTGCTGTCATTCATTATTGCAGTGTCTGGGAAGTATCAACAAGATTTGTTTGTTTTTTTTGTTGTTGGTTTTTTTTGTTTTTGTTTTTTTGTTTTGTTTTGTTTTGTTTTTTGGTTGTTGTTTTGTTTTTTGAGACAGTTTCTCTGTGTAACCCTGGCTGTCCTGGAACTCTTGTGTGGACCAGACTGGGCTTAAATTCGGAGATCCAACTGCCTCTGTCTCCCAGAATTAAAGGCATGTACTACCACCGCCACCCAGCTAACAGATTTTTTTTTTTTTTAATGTATTAACATTTGTTGTGTAGTATTAGGTTAAAATACAGTAATGATGAGTTTCCACTGTTTCTGTCCTGGCCTGATTACAGTTTGAATGGCCTAAGATGGTGCGTTGCTATCAGCAAGTGCCTTGTAGCATTCTGTAATTGGTTGTTTTTCTGAACTCAAATGTAGGACCTTACACATCTGTGTATCCCTAAAGCGCAATGGTTCTCAAGTAGGGATGGTTTTGCCTCTCAGGGGACAATTGGAACTGTCTGGAGACATTGTTGGTTGTCACATCTGGTGAGGAGGGAGGTGGTGTGGTCCTGGCACCTGGGGGGCAGAGGCTAAGGGTGTTCCCAAGGACTGGCAGTAAGCCCAACATTCCTTGCAGCACAGAATGACCCCAGGTGCTGATAGTGTGGGCACTGAGCAGTGCCCTGCAGTGGTGAGAGTGTGAACTCCGCAAACAGCTGGGTCTCCTAGAGGCCCTAAGGGCCATGGTTTTGTTCTCAGTGGCATCTGCAATGTGGTTACAGGGTTTCCTAAGGGAACCTGGGTCACTATAGTGTTTGTTATGTTTCCTGTGTTGCTGCTGCCTTGTAACCCCATCAGAGAAACAAGTAATTGTAGTGTTTTTTGACTTGTTAGTGGGCTCAAAGCAGCAGAAGAAAAACGTACTACTTGCGCATGGGATAACTATGGCTAATATTTTGGTAATGTCTGGGAGAGTCAGGACTAGAGCTGGGTTGCCCAGGTTTGCATCTTGGGCCCAACACTTTACCACTAACTATATTGCTAGCCCTGGTACTGGCATTTTAATTTTAGGAACCAAACATGATGCTTAACAATGGCATTGTTGTTCCCTGGGACAAGATGAGCAGGCAGGGGGTCCTGTCTTTCTCTGGTATAACTGTGTCCAGGTGCTTCCTCCTCGGCTTTCACCACTGCATTCTTAGCTCCTGGACATGGCACAGATTTCAGTTTGTTTTATCAGCTTGACAAGCTGCTGTCTCTTGAGTACTGAATGACAGATGTCCTAGCTGGGTGGTTTTTGTAAAGCTTGGCTCAGAAAGTTATCGATAGGTGTGATGTCATTTTGGAAGGGGTCTGGGAGTTTTAGACCTTAGGCCTGGAATAGTTTGTGAGGTCTACATCCTTTACCAAGGAACTGACCAGCTCCACCACTGAACCAACTGAGGCCTCGAGTAATTTGATATTTGCTTTGAACTTTTGCCAACTGGTAAGCAGGACGGGAATCCTTGTTTGCTGTCTCTCAAGTGGGTGATCTGCCAAACTGAGGTGTCCCCTCTCCTGAGGAGAGACTTCCGAGGACAGCCAGGCGTGAGACACCGTGCTTCACGAGCTAAGTCGGTTTTGAAAGGCGTTGACCAGCACCTCTGTTTTGACAGCAATTGCCTGTTCAGAGCCTTGGGTGACCAGTTGGAGGGTCATTCCCGGAACCATCTCAAGCACCGACAAGAGACGGTTGACTATATGATAAGGCAGCGGGAAGATTTCGAGCCCTTTGTGGAAGACGACATTCCTTTTGAGAAGCATGGTAGGTGCACTGTGGGACCCTGGGTCCTTCTGGAGCCTTGCTGGGTAACCAGCCCACCAGCACCCTGCCCCCTGACTTGATCCTTACCCCCCCACCCACCAAAAAAAAAGAAAAAGGAGGTAATGGTAATTGACCGGGCTCTGTGTTTGTGACCTCCTACCAGTGGGATGGGGAAATTAGCTGTAAGAGTGTACACAGAGGGAGTCTGCTTTTTAAACTGTGCATGGAAACAGTAGAGGTCTGGGAAGATAGTAGCACCTATGGGTTCTTTCTTGCCCTTTACATTTTTATAAATAGAAGATAATAAAGCACCTATCTGGAAGGATTTTTTATCCTTCTAGAAGATTAATTTAGATAACAATTTAGATAAATTAATTTAGATAACAAAATTAAATTCTTAAGTTAGCTGTCTGGGGATGATGGAACTATGGATAGTTTTAATTGTCTTCTGTAGATTTTTTTTTAATTTTTAAATAATCATGTATTATAACTAGAAAAAAGATCAGCAAGCCCATGTTAACATCTCACCAAAAACCTAAACACACCCACCCCATCCTTTTTGAAAATGGTATCTTTAAAACATAAATGTGTTAGTACCTTAGTTTTGGGTGTGTATGAAGCCTGACCTTTGATCCTCCTAAGTGTTCCACATGCCACCACACCCAGTTTATGTGGTCCAGGGATGCAACTCATGGCCTCTTGCATGCTGAGCAAGTGATCTCCCAGCTGAGCTGCAGCCCCACCCACAAACAGCATCTCCACCCCAAGGCCGACATCTGTGCCTTACCAGGACAAGGCAGCATGAGCATAGTCTCTGTTTTGATGACAGTGTTGGATCACATTGAGAATGGAGGGGAGGGAGCAAGGTTGGGAAGGGAGGTTGTTTGGTGAGGAGGCTCTCCGTGTTGGCAGTTCTGAGAGGGGTGTGAAGAGCCAGTTCCAGAGCAGTTGGTGGAGTAGTTTACTCAGGCGAGGAGACCAGGGTGGTTCTGAAGGTCCTGCTTTAGAATAGCTCCAAGCATGGAGGACAGAGGGAGGGACATGCCTGAGGACACTGTCAGTGTCCTCACTGGGAATGGGCACATGTAGCCCTGGGGGATAGTCTGTACCTGTTACTGAGCTCTGGTGGCCCTCTTCTTAGGGTCATTTTTCAAGCAGACAGTTTCAGCGTTAGCATTTTACAGGTGTGTGTGTGTGTGGGCAGATTTTGGAGCTTTGTGCTGTTTAAAATGAGTCATGTTGCTGAGTGTGCTAGTGCACACTTGCCCTAGCACTCAGGAGGCCGAGGAAGGAGGATCAGAAGTCCGAAGCCAGCCTGCGTAGAAGAAAATAAATAAAAGAATCTTGTCATTTTTCAGTGTTACTTTGGATGAAATTTACGGTCTGAATTCCACTTGAACACCTTTAGGAAGGTCATGTAGTGAGCTTGGGCTGCATCCATGTATCAGGACAGGAGCTCAGAGCTTCGGTTCCAGTGTGATGTCACTTTAGTTGTGCAGTGGAAAGGTGTTTTCTTGAAATCTCACTGCATGGCCGAGTGTTGCTGTATAAAAGTGTGAGCATCAAAGAGACGAGGTGTGGCTGTGACTGCCAGAGCAGAAATGAACAACAGCAGGGAGCCTGCGAGTCCTTGGACCCATTGTCTTGATCTCTTAACCAGTTACCAGTTTTGAATGTCTGTCTGCCCTAGTACTCTGTAAGTTTCTCAGGGACAAGGTATTGGGCCTTTGTTCCGGATTCAGTCACACCTGACATTTGGGGGTATTCATATAGGATTTGCTGGTTTAATAAGCGGATGTCTCATGTAACTGGTGAGGGCCTAGTGACCTTTGCCCTTGGCTCTGCCTTCAGGATTATTTTCGTCTTCTAGCCTGTGGTTCTGTAGAATCCACGCCACCTCTCCACATCTGTACCAAACCTGGATCAGAACTTGAGCTGTTGGTAATGCCTCATCTCCCTGTCCTCGCTTACTGGTCCATTGTCTCTTGGCCCTTTTCCTCAGCAGTTTCCTCTTCCTCTTACCACTTGTGTGGTCAGTTTTTACTGTGCCTTGACACAACCTAGAGTCACCTTGAACAGAGGCTTCTTCTAACCTCAATTGAGGGATTGCCTAGATCACATTGGCCTGTGGACATGTCTGTTGGGAATTGTCTTGATTGCTAATTGATGTAGGAGGGCTCAGCCCACTGTGGGCGGCACCATGCCTACGCTGGTGGTCCTGAACTGCGTGAGAGAGCTAGCTAAGCATAGGCTTATGAACCAGAGACAAGCCAGCAAGCAACTTTTTTTGCTGAGCCTGCCTCTAGGTTTCTTCCGTTACTGACTGACCTGGAAATGTAAGATGAAATAAGTACTCTCCTCCACGTTGCTTTTGGCCATGGTGTTTGTTGAAACAATAGAGTGAAACTAGAACATCACTTCTGAACTCGGGTGTGGCAGCCATTTCACCAGGAGCCCTCAGTGCAGTGTGGCCCCTTGATCTCTTCAGTCTGTTCTAAGTCATAGTTAGAGTGTGACCCAAGTTTTTTTGTTTTTGTTTTTTTTTCCTCCAAAATCTGTTGTTGACCTGAGGGCTCAGCCTGCTATTTTATCCTTTCATGATCTCTGGTTTTTAATTTCTCTCCTCTGTTTTTCACTATATTTTCTCCCTCTGTCTCTGCAGTCCAGGTTCCTGTGGTACACTATAGTCCATAGTCTGTCTTGTTGTTTGGAATATAATTCATTGCTCTTTTCAATTCCTCCTTGGCCATGGAGCATCAGTTGAGTAGTATCAGCCTGACAGCTTATCTGACACACCTCATCCCTCCCCTTCCCTGTGGGTGTACACACTCACACCTTTATGTTTCTGACATGAAGTTAGGATATGAGCACTGCTGTGCAGGATTTCCCTCGTCTCTGACACTACCCCACATTCACAGGAGCGATTGTGACAGCGGTGGTTAAGGGAACGACCAAAGTTAGCTAGAGGGGAAGACTCGGTCCAGCACAGTCCAGTCTCAGAAGGTTCCAAGCACAGTGCTTCTTTGTCTTCGGGAAGTTTTATGTGCTTGGCATTTCTATGACAGTACACATAGTGCTGTCAGCAGGGGACCTCACTGCAGCTTCAGAGTCCAGAGTTTGTCTTTGGGTTTGTTGTTGTTTTTGGCTATTTCTCTATTTCTTTTTGTGGTAGCATGTAGCTGCTGTATAGTTTGTTGGCAGCTGTAGTCTAGGGCCCATCATTAAAGAGAGAGACTTGCCCTTCTGCTTTGTCAGTTACTTTCCGGGAGCCTGGAGTAAAGGCCCGATCAGCCCTTTCCTGAAGCACTGGTTGTCTACATTGTCCATATTATTCTGATTGTAGTCTTCTCCAGGGCAGAGTGACAGAGTGGCCACAAGCCAGGGCTGTGTAGTCAGCTGCTGGGGTGAAAGCTCAGCTCACCGAGTTCAGACTCTGTGGCCTCAGGCCACTGTTAGCTGTCCTCACCTCCATTTGTTCCTCTGTCTGGTGGCGAGTGTGAGAGTTTTCCGAGCACTGCTCTGATGATCAGAAGTGATGATTTCTGAGAAATTATCAGCGCCACTTGACGCATGCATGCATCCGTTAGTGTGAGTTGTTGCCGTTTCTCTGTCTGTTGTTGTGCACGCCATGTGTGTCATGCAGCTGGGCAGACACGCGGCATTTACTGAAGGAGTTAATCAGCCCCCCTCCCCCCCCATGATGGGAACCCAGTGCAGTCTGCGTGTTGTTCACTTGTAGCTCTCTAGACTGACAGCTGGAGGCCTTTGCAGATGCGTGGCCGTGCTTCTCACAGCTTCCAGCTACATGAAATACCAACCATGTTTCATTTGCACTTTTCATCATAAAGACTTCATTTTTCTTTCCTGTTTCCATGCAGTGGCCAGTTTGTCAAAGCCTGGTACTTTTGCTGGCAATGATGCAATTGTAGCCTTTGCAAGAAACCATCAGTTGAATGTGGTGATCCATCAGCTTAATGCCCCTTTGTGGCAGGTAGGTCACCTGTTTAGGAATGTCCTTAAGATGATGGGGCTTGACCTGTGATGCTGAATTCCTAAGAATAGTTTGGATCATGAGCTAACCAAAGACAGGAATCTTGTGATTTGGAACTAACCCCTGTGCTGGGTGTAAATGGAGTCTGGAGTGTGAGTGAGAAATATTTTATGATCCTGGGGTATTATTCAACAGTCAGCTAAGTGGGTGATTTGGGGACAGAAACTAATGTGGAACTGCTTCAGATAGTCTTATTAAACTATCTTAGTATATCGATGTTTAGTACACACAATTTGTAGTTTTGAAGTATGCCCGTTCTCCAGCAGTTCCTATGTGTGTGTTTTTAATTAGGAGTAGAGAAGTGTCATAAAATCCTTGATAGTGACTATGTTCACCATAATGACTAAAAAGGGTTTTTCCAACAGTAGAGTGCTTTATTTTTTAGTTTTTATTCAGCTTTATTTCTGCATTTTGCTTTTTTCTACAATATTTTTTGTTTGCTTGTTTGTTTTTGGTGGGGGAGGTTCAAGACAGGGTTTCTTTGTGGCTTTGGAGGCTGTCCTGGAACTAGCTCTTGTAAACCAGGCTGGTCTCGAACTCACAGAGATCCACCTGCCCCTGCCTCCTGAGTGCTGGAATTACAGGCGTGCGCCACTAATGCCCAGCTACAATAAAAATTTTATAGCAAATGTTTGCTCCAGACTGAGACAGTTGTGAAGCCAGACAGTCCTCCCTGAAGTATCTGCCCATTCAACTCCTTCTCTCTGTCTCCTACATTAACCTCATCTGTTGGTCCATCAAACCAAATGTCCTAGAGCACAGGTGATCAGAGGCCGCTGACTGAGTGCACACCCTGCTCCCTTGTTCGTTCTCTCAGAATTCAGAGGGCTTTGTGTGACTCTGGCTCAGCTCCACACACTGGACATTTGCTTTCACTGACCCTTTGCTCTGTGTCACCATCTTGAACTTTTTTTGTTTAGAAAGTTAAAACCTTTTAATTGAAGAACATCTGGGAAATTGAGAAAAGCCCCCAGAGGCGGGTGAGGGCCACCAGAGTCACACTGACTGGAATTAGGACTGTTAATTTTTTTTTTTCCCAAGAAATTTTTTTTTTTATTAGTTTAAATTAGAAACAAGCCTGCTTCACATGTCAATCCCTTCTCCCTCCCCTCCTCTCCCACCTCCCATGACTGTTAACATTTTTAGTGTGTGTCCTTCCATTCACCCACACTTGGGCATATGATTGGGGGTACATATCACATGTTTTTACAATACATTTTAAACACATGTATGCGAATTCACACACACACACACACACACACACACACACACAAACACCTACCTTCGTATGCATGCATTACTTAAAGGTAATGACATCTTTTCTTCGAGTGCTGCCTGCACGCACCCCTTTGTAATTCCCTAAGTTGTGGCCTGCCCACTTTTTAGAAATATAAATTATACATGCCAGAAATTCACCCTTTTCTGGCTTACATCTATGTTTTGATGTACGTATAACACCACCACCAACATATGGAATAGCTCCACTTTACCAAGAAGTTAGTGCCTGCCCTGGGCCACACTACCCACTCATCTCCTTCCCAACCTCTGGTAGCTACTGTTTTCATTTCTTTCTTTTTAGTTGTACTTTTCTGTCTCATAAATGGAAGTCTTCAGCCTTTTGTATCTGTTAGTGTCCTTTGAACAGAGTTATATAGGACAAAGTGAAGTAGATGATGGCGGGGCTGGTGAGAGCATCTGCCCAAGGATGTGGTGAGCAGGAAGGAAACAGGATCCATCTCCTTGTCCAGTGTGGCTAGATGGCAGGGAGAGGACCCTGTGTTGAGTGGGTGCTCTTAAGAGTGATCTACTGGCCAAGAACACGGTTACCCTTCCAGGTCCAGGCGTTTGTTAGTAGCCTTTGCCGGCAGTGGAATTGTCAGGATACTTGAGTATACGGTGTGAGGAACCTGATCTAGAAGGAGAAACCCGTCAGCGAGGTAGCCATCACTACTTATCTAAAGATAACTGTTATGATTCTTAATTGCCTCATTCTTAACATTTTTTCAAATCTATTTCTGTAGTGCCCTGGTTTATCACTTATAAAACAGTGGAAGTATATACTTACAGCAGATTTATCCCATTGGATGTGCCCTGCCTGGGGGTACAGTCATTGTTTCGAGCTCTTGTATTAATGATGAATTGGCTCAGACTCAACGTGGATACTGAAACCTACATTGTCTCCTGCATTGGCGTGCAAGCCTGTGAGCGGTTTCCATGTATTATGTAGCCAGTGACAGGCCTGTTAGGTGTGAGCCTAATAATTTTGGTGACTGTTGTAGTTGGTTTTCTATTCATAATATCCACATGTTGTTACTAAATATGTGAATGCTGTAGGGACTTTGTCATGTGAGGACAAAGTAGGACATTTCCTCTCTCAGTGTCCTTTCTGGGAGGCAGTGGTGCTGCTGTGTCACGTGTCCTTCTGGACTGTGTCCAGACCTAGACAGTCTACTGTAGAAGCTTTTGCACTTCCTGCGTGCATCTGTGGGATGCCTACTTGTCCTGTGGCTTGCTGTTTTGTGGGTTTTTGTTGTTTGTTTTTTCTTGTTTTGGGCAGTTGGTTTTTGTTGTTTTGTTTTTGTTTTGGGGTTTTTTGTTTGTTTTGTTTTGTTTTGTTTTTCATTTTTCTGTGTAGTTCTGGAACTCACTCTGTAGACCAGGCTAGCCTCAAACTCAAGAGATCCGCCTGCCTCTGCCTCCCGAGCGTTGGGATTAAAGGTGTGTGCCACCACACCTGGCTGACTTGCTGTTTTGAATCTTGAATATTAAGTTAATGGTCGTCTCAGATTACTTGGGACTTTTAGTGAAAATAAAGAGGACTGATGTTTTAGAATTTTAAGGGAAGAAAGTTACCTAGGGGTAAAATCAGAATTATTTTAGTTTCTGTTGCATGGGTGTTTTGGAGGGAATCTACCCAGCCCAGCATTTAAAAAGTTTTAGATGCCTTTTTTGCCTGATTTTTAGGGAGTCAATTCTTGTGTCCCAAGGCATGTTGGGATGTAACATCCTGTATCCAGTGCCCAGGGCTGCAAGGTGAGGTGTGCAGGGCAGTGTGGACAAGGCCCAGGGCTGCAAGGTGAGGTGTGCAGGGCTGTGTGGTGTGCTAGTGCAGGTTTACTCTGTGGAATTTTGTCTTAGAACTGTGCAAGTGTTAGGTTTTGAGGTTGTTGCTGCCTCTAAGTTTCATGTGTGATTGGAAAGGGGAGGTGAATTTATTATAGCTAACAAGCCATACCAGGCCATTTTTGTATGGTATGGTTCCATTTTAAGGTCTTCAAGAGGATCTAGAAACTTTATACTTGGCATTTTACGTCTTTTTCCAATGATAATCCTCCATCTATTTGAGCTTCCGGCTCAACAAATCTGGGCTACTGCAGGGTCTTCCCGTTAGAAGGCGCCTGTGCACTCGAGAGGCCAGGTGTTTATAGTTTTATCTGACTTCATTGCAGGCCTGCCTGTGGCTTGTTAGTCATTCCATATGGATTCACTTGCATATTGGCAAATGTTACATAGACACATGGAAGCCTGCAAGGCTGCACGACAGCCCAGAGACCGGTGGCATGTCCTAGCCAGACTCCCAGTCTGTCTGTATAGGGCTTACTGGCCTGGCTTTCTGGTCAGGGCCCAGAGTCCCCACAGGCCCACACCTTGTAGCTCCTCTCTGTGTCTGCAGATTCGAGGCACGGACAAAAGCAGTGTGAGGGAGCTACACATCGCCTACCGGTATGGTGAACACTACGACAGTGTTCGGAGGATCAATGACAACTCAGAAGCGCCGGCCCATCTGCAGACCGATGTGAGTGAAGCCCTAGTTCCTTCTGCTTTCAGACCTGTAGGAAGCTACTCCAGAGCCGTGTCTTGGAGCTGAACACCAGGGACCAGCTGTTGTTGCTGTTAATGAAAAGTCCCTGTTGGGGAGCTGTGGCTCTGACTGCTAAAATATTTTAGCCAACAGAAGCATTGGCTGCCTAGCCTGACGATTTGGGTTCCATCCTAGGAACCCACATAGTGGAAGAAAAGAACCAGTTCTCACAAGATGTCTTCAGACATGTACACGAGGTCATGGCATGAGTGTACACACGCTCATAAATGTATAAACCTAAATGTATTTTGTATTTCTTTTTTAGTGAGGGGAGAGACAATTGCTTGTTGTCCCTTTACCTTCCTCCAGTAGCACCTATGCTTAGATGCATACACAGTCTGAATTTTTAAAATTAATTTTATGTGAGCCAGGCGATGGTGGCACACACCTTTAATCCCAGCACTCGGGAAGCAGAGGCAGGTGGATCTCTGTGAGTTCAAGGCCAGCCTGGTCTACAGAGCGAGTTCCAGGATGACCTCCAAAGCTACAGAGAAACCCTGTCTTGAAAAATCAAAAAAAAATTTAATTTTATGCTTAAAAATCAGTCCATGCCCATTATGTGAGAATTGGAAACTATACAAGGGGTTAAAAAAAAAAGTAAAAAGCACATAGAAGTAGCTGCATGGATTCAAATTTTGTTGTTCCCTTCTCAGTGGATTTCATGTTAGTCATTTAGTGCTTCAAGGATGGATGAGATTGTATTATCTATATAGCTTTGTTTTCTGCTCCTCTTTGTGTGTGTGTTCGAGTGTGTGGTTTATGTGCATATGAGTATATGGTGTGCATGCCTGTGTGTACACACAGAAGCCAGAGGAGGGCACTGTTGTCCTATCAACTCTGCCATATTCTTTTGAGACAGGTTCTCTCTTTGATTCTGAAACTTGCTTGGGGTTTTGTTTGTTTTTTGGCTAGACTATAGCTGTCATGACCCAGTGATCCTCCTGTCTCCAAGCTCCACAGCACCAAGTTGCAGGTGTACCCCCGGCCATGCTTAGCTTATTGCTAGGATCCAAAGTCAGGTCCTCTGGCTGCACAGGGAGTCCTCGGGATGACAGAGCCATCCTCAGCCCACGATGCTAATTGTTACCCTTCCTTCAGCCCAAGTGAGTGCTCAGAGCCTTCATGCACAGTGGTCTTTATATTTAATGTGTCTTGGAGTTTAATTCCTGGCAGTACACAGAAGCCTTCCTGGATCTGTTTTGAAGGCTGCCTGATATTCTGCTGTGTGGGTCCATTACAACCTGTTAGCCAGTCTCTTAACACCCTCTTAGATGCCTCCTTTGAGCCTGTGTTAGAGGCAACAATGCGTAGTGTCTTATATATGTACCTCCTTTCTTTAGGATAAATTCATAGGAGCCTTTGTATATCAAGGTGTTTTGATAGATGTTACCATATCACTTCCTGTCAGTGTCCTAGGGTCCTGATTGCGGTGTGTGGCTCTTGACATCCTTAAAAAAAGAAAATCAAGTTTTTAATCTGTCAGATTAGGGGAAAGACTTTTGTTTTTACGTAATGATTTTTTTCTTTAGGTTTATTAGGTGTGACACTGTGTTAGTGTGTGTATGTGCATATGGGTGCCTTAGAGTCCAGAGAAGGACATCAGATCCACTAGAGCTGGATTGATTGCTGGTGGTTGTGAGCCACCATGTGGGTGCTGGGAACAAACTCTGGTCCCTGCAAGAGCAGCCAGTGCTCTTAGCTGATCATATTTGCCTTCCTTCCCCCAACACAGAAGGAAACTGCATTTAAAACAACATTCGGATTGTAATGGTTTGTGCTAAATCTTTGACACTGTACTCACTTTGGGCATCAGCTATTGTAGCCATCTCTCCTGCTCCTTTCCTGTAGTTTTTGTGAGTATTTTGCCATGAACGTTGTGCACCTTTCCCTGTATTTAAGACCTATTCTTCCTTTTTTTGTGAACTATATTTATTTTCTTTGTTCACTTTGTCTTAGTGAGTTGTCTTAACGGCTTTTAGGAACTTTTTATACATTAGGGAAGTAAGCTTCTGTGAGAAATTGCAGGTATTTCCTTTAGCTTTTTTCTAGTTGGTCACTGCCATAGATAACTTTTCTATTAGCCTATATCTTGCACGTTTCTTGGCTGACTTCCTGGGCTGTGAAGGTGTGAAAGGTTGCTCATTGCCAGCCACTAAGGTCTCTTAATAGGTAACTTTGTGTTGAGGCTCTCACGTATATACTGCTCATGGCTGAGCTCTGCTGACACTTAGTGCAGAAATGTCAGTGCCCATTGCATGTCTCCCTCCATTCTTAGGAGGCAGAAGGAGATGGTGGCTATGTAGTCAAAGGGGGCGTTGGTTTTCTGACTTGGGTTTTGTCATAGAGGCCTCTTGGGCCCCAAATGAGCTGTGTTACCTAAGCATTTGGATTGGCTGAGTGTGGTGTGCCCCACAGGTGTGTTGAGTCAGCACCGTCATGTGCCCCAGAGCTTGCTGATAATCACAGAGAATTCAGAGACCAGATGAGAGCTGGACACTTGTGTTTTCAAGGCTAGCACTATAAGTTCAGTAGTTCAGCAGGTGTGAACATGGGGGCCATCTTCTGTATTCAGCAAGCAGAGGCAAATATGTGCCACCAGACTTGGACATCGTTGCCCAGGCACTGTGTCCAAATACTGAGGGTGCCTTGCTGCTCTTCTTTCTGTACTCGGGGCCGTCCCAGAGTCTTAGTGTGGGTGAATCTAGCCACTGCTGTTCTTGTCAGGTTGTTTCTAGAATTCTTCCTCCTGTGTTTGCATGGTTTGTGGTTCAGATGTCTTTCTGTGTTAGAGAGCTGAGGGAAGTTTGCTGGAGCCCATGGTTCCTATGCTGTGTTTCTTTTAGTTCCAGATACTTCATCAAGATGGAGCAAATAAAAAAGAAAAGATCAAGATAAAAGGGGGGGACTTTGAAGATGGCCCAAGAGATGAAGTGGAAGATGCTGTCCAGAAAGTTGGCAATGCAACTGGGTGCTCAGTTAGTATCCTTCCCCCCAATGTGTCATAGCTGAGTCCTCAGTTAGTGTTCCCCCCCCATGCCTCACAGCTGGATACTCAGTGTCCTCTCCCCCCAGCTGTGCCTCACAGCTGGATCCTCAGTTAGTGTCCTTCCCATGTCTCACAGCTGGATCCTCAGTTAGCTCCCCCCCATGCCTCACAGCTGGATCCTCAGTTAGTGTCCTTGCCCCCCATGCCTCACAGCTGGATCCTCAGTTAGTGTCTTCCCCCCCAGGCATGCTACATAGCAGGAACTGTCATGCCAGAGCTGGCTTGCCAGAGACCCACGAGAGGGAAAACTGTTAATTCATTTCCCTTGTTCACTGGGTTTCACCTGTCAGTGCTCAAAATCGAGAGAGAGAGTTGCCCTAGTAAAGGTATAGCTTTATAAAAAGAGTTTATTTATAAATGCATTGGAATGGCTACTGCACATGATGGCCTTGTTTGGAATTGATATTTCTTAGTGGACAAGGTCTTGGATCCTTGTCAGTTCCTCTTGTGTTTGTGTGTATCAGGCTGATGAAGCAGAGCCCAGGGGCAGGACACATCCAGAACCTAAATGTCTCTCTGCTTCTTCAATAGGATTTTAAATTAATAGTCCAGAACCTGGAAGCTGAAAATTACAATATTGAATCTGCAATAATCGCCATGCTTCAGATGAACCAGGGTAAAGGAAACAGTAAGTCCACTTCTAAATAAGCTTTGAGTGTTACTGCAGTCGCTGCCTCAAACTGGTGTCCACAGTCTCTGTAAGTGCTCTAGTGGCCACACTATCCGTCTGTCCCCCTTGAGCTCCGTGAACATTTGTCAGATTTGGGATATAAATGAATGCTTTATCCCTAAAAATTCTCTTTAAAAGTTCATCTACGAAAACAAACACTGCTGGCAGAAGTTGGCTATGAACCTTGGAGCCAGCCAGAGGCTTCACAGGCTTTTTGCAGCCTTCCTGACTGTTGACGGGAGAGTGAGATTCCATCTCAAGGAACCTGGCTTTGTAAATGACAGGCATCTGAGGACCCCTGTGATCTTGTAATCATGTAACTGCAGTTGTTTTGTGTAACTGTTGGGTTCTTGGTTTTAACAAAATGCCTTTCTTTGGAAGATGTGAAGGAGAACCTTGAGCCTAGTGACCAAGTGTCAAAGCAGTGTGACCCTTCATCTCAGGAGACAGGCAGCGGCTCCACACTCCTTGGAAATCAGGGTGAAAATGAAGGCCATACGGAAAACAGTAAGGCTCGGGCCAGACCTAGTGAAGAAAACAAAGCAAATAAAAACCAGATCCCAAAGGTATGGTGTGGTCGGGAGGCAAGGACACTGGGAATTCTGTAGTGGGGTGGAAAGTTGCTTTTCCCCCTAGTGTGCATTTTTCTTGATGTGTAAAAGTAGTTCTTGTAGAGCTTCTGGGGCGGGCACACAGATGGATACTAAGATGCAGAGTGAAGACTTTGCTTGTCCATAGTCACAACAGCCTGTAGCCCTCTGTGCGGATGCCTAGCTGCCTCCTCCTTTATCCGACATGACTGTCAGGGGCGCGGTGTCTTTGCATCATCTGAAGTAAACAACTTTGTTTTCTTGTATAGTGTCCCAGGTGGAACGGAGGGCGGCATGTCTCTCTAGATCTGCTTCAGGCTCTTGCTAAGCTGTCAGGTGTACGCCTCCATCCCTGCCCCGGCTCCCACAAGTGGATGGGATGTCATTAGTTTATCCAGTTTCAAACTCACCTTAAAGGCAGATGTTGTGAGCTAGACTACCACCTAATGCGCAGAAAATGATGCCACAATCTGGGAACTACTTTTTATTGCCATTATCTGGAGTCTTTTTTTTTTTTTTTTTTTTTTTTAAGTCCTGCAGGCTTAGCTGAAGCCTGATTTTTTTTTAAAAGATTTTATTTATTTATTTATTATGTGTACAGCATTCTGCTTCCATGTATATCTGCACACCAGAAGAAGGCACCAGGTCTCATAACAGATGATTGTGAGCCACCATGTGTTTGCTGGGAATTGAACTCAGGACCTCTGGAAGAGCAGTCGGTGCTCTTAACCTCTGAGCCATCTCTCCAGCCCTATCTAGAGTCTTAAATGATGGAGAAAGTGTCTCCAGGCCCCTTTGTGTCATTGTCATCAGTGGCTGGACTTGGGACACTGTCTTCGCGGGTATTTGGGTTGTTTTATGAAGAGGATTGATTTTACTTGATGCTTCAGCAAGGAAACATAAATGTCAAAGTATATTTGAACAATGGTGGCTATGACATCTTTGTGCTCTCTTGGGCTGTTTCCTCCGTCCTTGCTGAAAGCATCCTGGGCCTGTGCTTCAGTCAGCCAAGCGCCTCATGTCGCAGCACCAGTGACTCTTGTAATGTAGCTACTGTCTCTTCCAGGTTTCAAACAAGCAGCGGAGGGAGCAACAGCGACTGGAGAAGAAGAAACGGCAGGAGGAGAGCCCCCGCCACAAAGCCCTGGAGAGCAGGAGCAGCCACAGGGACGTCAGCAGAAGCGAAGCAGATGTGAACACGCAGGTTACCTTGGTGAAGACCTTTGCTGCTCTCAACATCTGACTCTCAGGCCCCTGAGAGGTGGAGGACAAACACTGCAGACCAGGCGTCCCAGCCAGGTGTCCTGACAGCGCCCACGAACAAGCCCACAGGAGTTCTTCCTTCAAGCTGCCTCTTTTGTCCTTAGCTTTGTCAGTGTTTTGTTGTGCGACAGTATGGTGAAGCCATTTGCCTTCTGGAACACAAAGAAAGTACTGAGCCGAGGGTGGGTCGAGAGGAGGGAGCCTTTGGAGTGTGGCAATCCTAGGCTCTTCCGTGATGTGTGGGTGGGTTTGCTGTAAATTATCTTGAAGTTGTTCAGCACAATCATTAGAAATCCACAGTGACAACTTCCTTTGTTTCTCACTCATTTTCAAGCAGGGGTGCACGTCTTAGTTTACCAGCTCAAGAGGGTGTTGAGATCTGATTTGTTTCTGACCCAGGTTATTTGGGCATGCCAGTGGTATGACAGGGTCGGTGGCTCACAGCAGTCAGGGACATCAACTATATCTCCCTTCTTCCTGTCTCTGGTATCATCTCAGCGCGTGGCTGTCTTCCCCACTCTAGCCGTGTGGGCCGTGTGCCTGGCTGTGGGCGAGCCTGGGCTTTGCTGGGAGCTCCACAGTGCAGCGGAGTTTGCCATGTTTTTCTGAACAGGTAGGAGATGGTGTGGCGCTGCTTGAGGCACACCTTTGACCTTTGAACCCTGATGTGCAGGCCTGAGTCCATAGCTGAATGGTGGTGGGGGGAGGCTCTTGAGTTTTTCCTCCGTAGAACCTGAAGACTTGTTCTATGGAGTCTATAAAGTTTTCCAAGGTTGAATTTTAAGTAACTATGTTTTTCTTTTTGATATGCTAGACTCAGAAAGATGCCTACAGAGAAATAAGTGGTCGCTTGACCTTACAGGTTGCTAAATTTTCTTAACATGTGAAAATGAAATAGAATCCCAGCACTCAAGCAAGGCAGGGTTGCTGCAAGGCTGAGGCTACCCTGGGCTATGCAGTGAGTTCCAGACTAGCCAGGGTTAGAATAAAAGGCCCTGTTTCACTCCCTACCTAAGGGAAGTATCTTGTAATGTGCTATTGGTGTTTTCTTTCAGTACTGGGAACAGTGCAGCAGTGGCTGGGGCTGTCTGTGACTGGGCTGGATGGCCAGGGAGAGGGCCTATACTGTTGGAGGCCTTTGAATGACTCAGTTCTGAGGCACCCTCAAGTAGGGAGAAGTGCTGTTCACCAGGTGAGGCTATATGTTTACTTTAAGCCATCACACATAGGGGACAATCATGACTGAAGTCTGTCTTCTGGGAAACTAGTATTCAGACTAATGCTGAGTCAAAAGATGAATTCTTTGTTGTCCTGTACTTCCTATGTACAGGGCATTGAAATATTGTACAGATTTGAAAACTACATGGCATTTTTTTTCCCTCCTCAGTTGAAGACTCATGCCTCAGTTCCCAAAAGGGAAGACAGTGGCCGTGGTGCTCAAAGTAATAGAAGTGGGGCTGGCTCTGGAGCCAGTGTTCTCTGTGGTCACCCGGGACAGGGTCTGGGTTGGCTGAACTCATCTGAATAGCAGCTCTCTGATCGTTGTTTTGTACTACCTGAACACAGAATGCCAGGTCTCTGCAGAAAGGTTAGCATTGTTTATCAAATCCCAGGGTTGAAAGTCAGAAGTGGCGGGGCTGTTGGGAGCAGGCTTGGTGATAGAGCCCTTGCTTAGTGTGTGGGAAGCCCATCCCTGGTACTTAAAGACCCAAGCTGTGGCTAGTTGTCAGCAGCCTCTTGGACACTCAAGGAGCTGCTGTTTACCTGGCTGAGGACAGTGTGGGCCTCTCGGGTGTCAGAGCTGCTGTGGAGGTCAGGTCGCTAAAGAGTGCTTTTATTTACAAATTGTCATTTTGTTCTGGGTGATCTGCTTCCAGAAGGCGGTGGCTATGCTTTCCTGATTACAATGGCAGTCTCTTCAACGCAGTTTTCTCTTGTCACTGTCCACAGTTTCCACTTTCAGTTGGTGTGTTTCTGTAATGTGCTAATTATTGGAAGTGGGGTGCCTGCACCCAGCTTCAGCATGTTGTCCGGCTCAGGCTCGGAATGTCCTCACTGCCTCAGTCTCACTGAGGTGGTCTATAGGCATGGCTAGTATAGTGGGCACCTGAGGTTTCCTCCTTGGCAGCCAGTGTGAGGCCCACCCGGTACATTGAACTTTGGGGTGGTGACAGTTAACACTGTTCCTCTCTCTGGTCCAGGTGCTCAGAGGGAAGCTGACTGTCTTGGCTGCTACCTGAGAAAGTCATGGTAGCTCATCTTGAGGACACAAAGGAAAGCCACAGTACTTCATGTGGTTCACTGACCTTATAAACTCTGTGAAGGATTTTCTAGATTTTAAGAATAATTTTTTAGGGTCAAAATAAGAAAAAAAAAAAAATGATGGCAACACTTGGCACTGGAGGCAGATGAATTAGAACAACACAGCCCAGGCTTGATAGTGCAGCCCCCTGGGAGACTGGGTTGAGAATACTTATTCATTTGGGTTTCAACAGAGCATCTCCCGGTGGGGATCAGAGTCTGGTCAGGGATTATGGCAGGAAGAAAAGTCTGAAGTGTCCCCCAGGGTTTCCTGTAGCTTCTTCTGTGAGCTCTGAAAACACTTCTAACCCCATTTTGATTGTGTAAGTGAAGGAGGCTGACCTTGCAGGGCAGCTGGCGTGGGGCTCTGTGGGGAACCTTTCTGTAGCTCAGGCATAACATCCTGTTCCCCTGGGGAACAGAGCAGGACTAGTGACAGTGGCTCGGGTTACCTTGTAGTGTCAGGTGGACTTTGCCAGTGCACTGCGCTCAAGTCCGTCACATTCTAAGAAACGACTGTTTGCCTGGGTTTTATCAGGACAACACAGAGCGCCCTTATTTTACCTCTGAAATGTTCAGCTCAGACATCCAGCTGAGTAGAAGAACCCCAGGTCCCCAGAGAGAGTGGACTCAGTCACCCCGAGCAGGGTGTGAGCAAAAAGGGAAGGAGCCTCCCGAGAGTTGCGGCCTCAAAAGTCCTTCTTGAACCACATGTGGGCATGCGGTTTCTCACCTCCCCGACCTGTAGGCCCAGGCCGGGTGCAGGGCTTCAGTCTTGTCCTTGCCTTTACCTGCTGCCTGCTTCCTTTCCCTTGAAGGTTGGGTGTCGCTTTTGCCCAGCGTTGCCCCCAGCAGTCCAAGAGGCACTTTTACAGGAGCACATCCCTTATTCTGGCAGGCAGGCTATCATTTCCAAGGTCATTGTTGAGTTGAGTTGAGCTGTGTATTTAGGTTCTGTGTTTAGGTTCTAGAAGTTGACTGCTGGGGTCAGTCGATGGTTTCTGCTGAGTGGAGGCATCACCGTGCCTCTGTCCCAAGTGGGAGTGCAAGGTGTGAGGCTCAGGAGAAAGCTGTGTTCTGTGATAGCCTGGCTGTCTGTCCCAGGTAAAGACCTGACTGTTTCTTTCTTCAGTTGGTTTTTTTAGAGTCTCACTCTTTGTTTTATAGTTCAGTTGAAATGTTGGCCTTTTCGCGGTCACTGGAGAAGGCCGGTGGCCATGCAGAGGGCACTCTCTCTAGTTGCACACTGGCACAGTAACTTTACATAAGCAGGGCAGACTTGTGATCCAGGGCTCCTTTTGCTCTGTCCTGAGCACAGGAAGAAACCTTGGGGTCTGGCTCAGACGAGCATCCTGCAGGCCGCCATGCATCCCCACAGTCCTGTTAGCCACTATGGCAATCAGTGAAGCTCATCAGCCCTCTCCTGTGGTTTGAGCCCCACCAGCCTTCTGTTGAAACCTAAGCCCTGCTGGTGTGGGGCTCTTCAAGTCTTCCTATTCTTGGGGTGCATTTTCCATGGAGGTTACCTTCTCAGCATCTCTCACCAAGCACTAAGCTAGGAGAAGGGGAGACAAGGGCCTTGAGTCATGCTCACACCATCCTGAGTGCTGATGTCTGTCCATCGCCCTAGAAAGGGCCAGTGTATCTGCCTTCTCTTTCTAATTGCACTGTCCTTATACTAGCTTTAGTCTAGAGAGATCTAAGATCTCTTTGGGTCATGACCCATAGACTTAGCAAGTCTGCCTTAGCTATGGAGTGTAGAGGTGAGAAAACCATTTCCTAGTGTCTGGAGCCCATTTCCCCTAGACTATCTGTTTTCACAGATGTGTTCATCTGAATCATTTTATTTTTTATTTACCAAAGTACTGTACTTGGCTATTTGCAGTGTTTTAAGAACCAAATGTTTTTGTGTTTTTGATCTTCAACACTTGGTGCAATAGAAGCCGCAAAGACGTGCCACTTTATCTTTGAAATGGACTTTGTATACCAATAAATTCTAGTTTAAAAGCAAAGTTCAGGTCAGTTTATTTTTGTTTGTTTGCTTGCTTACTGCCTGGGAATGTTCTAGGCATGCACTCTACCATTGAGGTCCGTCCTTGTCTGGGATTGTTCTCGCCAGTATTCGACCACCACTTGAGTGAGTGAGAGGGACCAAGAAAGCATGCTGGCAAATGTCCTTTTCAGAGACCTTTGTGTGGGCGGTTGGAGGTGCTTAGACTAGGAATTCTAGATGGGTAGTCATTTGGGACCTAGCAAAGGTAGCATGGATACAGGTGAGTATGGTTGTTGCATGGCTGGGCAGACCATTGTAAGACCTACCTGCACCTTAAAACATGTCAGCGGCCACCTTAAGAGTTACCCCTTTCAGGATACCACCAGCAAGTACAGAACACTTGCCTTGATCAACAGGATTCATAAATTGCCCTGTTCTGGTGCAGTTTTTTTGGAGCTGCTTGGGAAAATATATCCACCTAGACCGCATTGATGCAGACTAAGAGCTTTGGTTGAAGAGGATGGAGACTAGTCCTGCTGCCTCGTAGATTCTGGCTCTGCAGAAGGAAACACTTTGTACCTTATCTGAAACTGCTCTGATTCTGTGGTATAGGAATTTGGGTATTCCCTTTGTATTCAGTTCTGTCTTAAAGTCTCTGTTGTTGTGAAGAGACACCATGACTATAGCAACTCTTATAAAGAGGACATTTAATTGGAGTGGCTTGCTTACAGTTTCAGAGATAGTCCACTATCATCATGGTGAGGAGCATGGAGCCTGGGAGTATGGTGGCATGCAGGCAGACTTGGTGCTGGCTACGTCTTGATCAGAAGGCAATAGTAAGTGATCTGTCTCACTGGGCGTGGCTTGAGCATCTATGAGACCCCAAGCCCACATCCACAGTGACACACTATCTCCAACAAAGCCACACCTCCTAGTAGTGCCACTCCCCATGAGCTTATGGGGGCCAATTACCTCAAGTTTTTTCATTCACCCATCCTCGCATCTGAGAATCCATCCTACAATTACTGACTCTCTGAGTCTTAGAAAGTAACCGGGACCCTGTTTTCCAAAAGCTTACAGCTTACAGTAGGGATGAAAGCAGACACAAAACTATGATCCAAGAGAACATATGGACATGCAGGGAAGTTGGTAGTGTGCTTGCCTCGCAAGCATTGAAGGGCCCAGACCCTCACCCAGCCCCCTGCTTTAGCCCCCCTGCTTTAGCAGCCAGAGCAGGCTGCAGAAAAAACCCAGCAAGATGTAGGCCTCTGACTCAGCACATGCTGCTGAGTTTCCAGCCTTCTGACCTTGATGGACCTGCCCCAGTCACTAAGAGGTCAGATACCCTCCATATGGCAAGGAACCAATCAGAAGTTAGCTGGCATATAGAGCATAGCAACTGTACTGGGAGGGCCTCTGAGCATAGCAACCATTCCTGACCAATCAACTCAGGACAGGTCGCTGAAGCCCAGAAATGCACCAATCCAGAGACTGTTGCAGGCCCCAGACACTCCCCTTGTTCCCACCCCCACCCCTGAGTCCCTCCAGGTCCTTCCTGTCCCAACCGCTGTGTTGGACAGGAGGAACCTAGTTAATACAGTTAACTTGATAAATAATAAAAGACTCTGCTTTTGGATTGGAATGGGTCTCTTGATTTGGAGGTTCAGAATTTGGGCATAACAGCATGAAGCCCTAGGTCCCATCTCCAGCATCATATAAGGGATATTGAGTACATGTAGAATAATCCCAGCTCTTGGGAGGTGGAGGAGAATCAGGAGTTCAAGGTTAGCCTGGGCTGTATGAGGCCCTGTCTCAAAAACAAAACAGCAAAGGAGCCCTAACACAAAACCAAACTGTGACCGAAAGAAGGGCCGAGCAGATGGCTCAGGAATTGAGAGAAATCAAGGGAAGCTTTGCATTTGTACAGGTCAGGGGAAGTAGACAGAGAAATAGGGAAGGCACTCAGTAGCAAAGAACCAGGACAAACCAAGCTTGAGTGGGAAAACCATGCTTTTAGCATAGGGCCTGCCTAGAGTACGCAGCAGGTTTGGAGGGAGAGAGGCTAGAAACATTTTGTCAAACGCTACTTGGAAGAGCAGTGCGGTGCTTCCTGGGTGAGGTCTAGAGAGGAGACTTGCTTGGTCCAGCTGGGCTGCATGTTGGGTGTGTGCACTCTGCATTGTGTTCTGGGGGTGTGGCAGGTAGCAGCCCTCCAGGAGAACTTCCAGCCATCTCTTCTGGCAGTTTCACCTGTTTGCATTGGGGCCATCAGCTCAAAGGCATTGAAGACTAATGGCTCTCAAATATGCAGCCACTTGAGCTCTGGCTCCCATGCTAGGGAGCCAAGGGATTGGTCAAGTGAATCCATGCAGTATTTAATCAGACTCGTATTGGCCAAATGTGCACGGTGCCCCTTACCACAAATTGTTCCAACTGAAGCAGGCATTTAGAAACTGCCTTTTCGAAGAGGCACTGACTCCAAACATGGGCTCATAGGTAACTGGTAACCCGGCATCCCTGTTACACCGCCGAAAACTCAAGTATCTGGGGTCCCAGGCCACGTTCAAGGTCACCCCAATCACCAGGCGGATTCGAGAGCTTGCTGCAAACTGCACGAGGCTTTATTGTAATTTAATGAGCTAACCCCATGTTAGCTCGGGTCTTTCACCCACCCGCCATGGCGGATGGCTAGC